ACAGGACACGGGGCAAGATCTTAAAGCACCTTCTGGTTTAAATTAAGGCTTTCAGTGTTGTCTTACAGACAGTGGGGAAGCACTGGGCAGCAGAATTAAAACTGGGGTTTCATTTTAGACTCCTCAACACAGGCAGCAGGAAGGAAGGTTATTTGGAGGGGAGGGATGCCAAAGGCAAAGAAAATGACCAGGGGGCTGTGGCAAATGGTCCCCGTAATGGATGAGGACTCAAACTGGGTGGGGATGGAGGACCCAGGAGTGGGGGATGGCTGGAGGGATGTTGAAGAGGTGGGGCTGATAGGCACCTGATGGTGAAAGTGAGGCAGGGTTGACAAGATCCCCTTGACCATGTGGATGGAAGTGGCACTAGTCAAGAAAGAAACACTGAGAAAAATCTATGCTAAGAAGGAAAATTGTGGTCACGTTCAAGGAGTGTGGAGGTGATGGATATCTAGGCACTGGAGGAATGAGTCTGAGCTGGAAGTCACCAGCATGTAGGTTCTGGCAGGAAACCTCTTTGGGAGCAATTTCGGGGGAGCAATGGGGACTAAGCTTGGTTCCAGGGTGTTGAGGAGTGGGAAGTGCATAGCCTTTAGGCTGCACAACTGCAGGGGGTGCTGTTCACATCCGACGTGCGGGTTGGGCTTGCCGATCTAGCAGAAGCATTTGGAAGCAGTAAGTGGGGACTACTCTTTCACAGAGCTGATTGTGAAAGGAAAGGAGAAGGCGGTGCTGGCCAGGAAGTTTGCAGAATGCTTGGTTGTTTTCTCCAAGGAGCCCTCCTGGACCACTCCATCTGGGCCAAATGCCCCTCCTGCACATCTGCATCACAGTCCATGGCACAGGGGCCTCTCACGCCCGGCCTGACTCATCCCCTGTCATATCTGGTTCTGAGTGGGTTCCAACTTCCTCTGCCTGGACAGCCTCATCTCCATGCCCACTGCACATCATCTGCTTCCTGTTTTGGCCACTCCAGGTCTGGGGCAGCCAAGGTAGTCCCATGTCCCAGACTAGTTGGCAGAGATGCAGAGAAGGCTAGGGGAGCAGGAGTGGAAGCAGACGAAAAGATCTGGCTCAGCTGGATCAGGGCAGAAGCCATAATAGATTTGAGCGGGATGACAGTGACTTGGATGGTGATGAGTGGCTGGTGTCACCATCTGTCTGGAAGTGATAGGACCTGATGGATTAGAGGTGGGCAGGAAGGATGACTCTGGGCTTTTGGCTTGAACCAGAAGGTGGAGGGATGGTGCTATTTTACTCAGGTGAGGAAGATGGGGAGGAAGAAGCATGTAGAATCAAGAGTGGGGTCACAGACACTTTTTTGGAGACATAATTCATCTAGACATCCACATGGAGCAGATGAGGAGGCAGCCGAGTCCAGGGCAAAGTCCTGTTGGACACTAGAAGTGATCAGCATCCAGCTGGCATTTAAAGGTATGGACCAGGTGACGCTGTTTATGGGCAGTGGGGAGAGAAAGGTTGTTTTTTAATAGAATAATCAGCAGACAGCAAGTTATTCCCTGAAGACTGACACACTCTCAAACTTCATTGTGCATCAGAATCACCTGCCATGATCACCTGTACCTTGCTTCCTAAGTAGGTCCTTAGGAACAAGCATTTGGACATTCTGGGCCTCAGGGAGAAGCCTGGGAAGACAAGAACCCCAGGTGCTTCTGGTGAGGTGGTAAGTGAGAAACTCTGCCCCATTGAGGATGCAGGGGTCACATTGGGAGTGGAAAACAAGGGACACTGCCAGGGCTGGGATGACCAGGTAGGAGCATCCTGAAGGATGTTGTATTTTCTCCAGAGCCATCATGAGGCCTTAGCCTCCATCAACCCCTCATGCCTGTGCAGGTAGAAGTGTCCAGGTGTGGCACCTTCTACCCAGGCTTTTGCCCACCAGATACCTGTCTGTCCCCTTCCCCTTGCTCATGCCCACTCCAGAGCCTATCAGCTCTGCAGATGGGGTAATTTACCTAAGGGAGCCCTCGGGTGCTATGCCCTCAGTGATGGGCTGTGACTGTCCAAGGAACCCCAAGGCTCCTGGCTGGGTCTGCAAGGCATATGCCAACCAAAGCATGGCTCCAGGTCATTCCACAAGCCAAAACCTGCATTTCTTCTGAGGCAGGAAGTCATCAGTTGAATATTATAATTGCATATTGGTTTCAAGAGGTGGTATTTTCTCCAGGTCTGTCTCCTTATCTCCACACTGATGAGGTTATCCATGAAGGGGGTCTCAGAGGGCACGGAGCTCTGGAATGCTCATTGAGATGCCCAGCCCCGAGTGCCAGACCTGCCTCACCTACTGCTAAAAGACTTTTGAGTGACACCATTGTTAAGCCAGAGCTCATCTTCCCATTGCTCCACGCCCATGTCTCCCTTCCATGTTTCTCATCACCAGGTTTATGTGTGGTTAGCACCTGACTCCTTTCATGCTAGCCTGTCACTCTGTCTTGTCAACTCTTTAAAATGTCCTTTGAACCTGCCCTTCCCCTCCATTCACACTACCCTGCTCAATAGTCACTTGATTGGACTACTGTATAAACATCTATAATGGATGGAGTGTTGGTGTCCCCCACGCAGCTCATCTACTGAAGCCCTAGCCCCCAGTGTAATGGCCTTGGGGGGTGAGGTCTTTGGGAGGCAATTCAGTTTAGATGAGGTCATGAGGGTGGGGTCCCACGATGGAATTAATGTCCTCTCAAGAAGAGAGACAATCTCTCTCTCTCTCCACCACTGACAACACAACTTGAAGGCAGGAAGAGGACCCTAACCTGGGACTGAATCTGCTGACATCTTGATCCTGGACTCCCCAGCCTCTAGAACTGTAAGAAACAAATGGCTGTTGTTAAAGTTCCCAGACCCAAGCAGCATCCTAGCCTGTTTCTCTGCTCCCTGCCTCATCCTTCATATGGAATATTGGTCTCTTTCCTGGCACTTACTATTGGTGGTGACATCTCTTAGTGTGTTTGATTGTTTGGTTGTTTACTTTTATTTCCAAATGGCCTGCTCTGTGAAGCTGAGGCTCTTTTGTACAAAGGATGGAACAACAGGTCTATCACATAGTAGCTGTTTGCTGAGGAAATGAAATGCTGACTACAATAAAAGCTTCCAGCCAGGTCCCCCTGCCTCCTGCCTTCTGCTTTGGCTAGAGTCATCTTCTAAAGACACTAATTTCATCTTGTCCAACTCATCAGACTGTCAGCTGAGTCCCATTGCCCTTTTTGTGGGTTTATGGGGAATTATATGAAGTTAAGATCAATCTGATAGTGAGGAAAGGTGCTGGGGGTCATTAATAACAATGCAATGAGTTTTAAATTGTGGGTTTTCTTCAAAAGAAACCCTCAAACCCATGAGTACTACAGGAAATGAGTGAGTCAAGCTTCCCAGTACCTAGTATCCTCTAGGTTGGGGTCTGGTAATATCAAGCCCCAACTCACTGCCTGGATGTGTTTCTTGCAGTTATGCTCTGCTGTCTCAGGTGGGCACAGCCTACAGTTCTTTTTCTCTCCTGTCCACAGGTGGGGCTCAGACAAGTTTCACACAGTACAGTGTTGGCTCTGGGGTGGAGCCCACTCCCACTCTCTTTAAGTGGGAGTGTGTGTGTTCTGTGAGGTATTTTGTGAGGATAAGGCAGTCCCTTGACAAGAGCTGTTTACAAATTTGGGAAAATACAGTTCAACAGAATTTCCTCTTCTGTCAGTGTGGGTCCATTTCCCCTCTCTCCTTACTAAGAGGAAGTTCCGTTAACTCACAGAATCACACATTCCTCAGCCTGGAAAAGCCCTCACAGGAGGTTGCTCAGCTGAACAACTGGGGCCTTCTGTGGGGGAGTTTAACTCAAATTCCAGAGATGTGTGGAAGTGCCTCATCAGTCCAGCTGCCTGGAAGAACTCTCTTGACTTCTCCCACAGCTCTGCCTGGGTTGGGCACTCAGAGAGCAGCATGGAGGCTGAGGAAGCAGCACAGACTTGTCCTCATTCCACACAAGGGTACAGGTCACTGTCCACCAGGGACTCACATCTTCTGCCTCTGTTCTGTCCTGCAGGCTACTCTTTGCCTTGCCTCTTCTAACCAGACTGGCTCCAGTTTCTTCTAAGAGGATAGCTAATTCCTCTTAATCTCTGAACCTTTTTATCCATGGTCAGGTTTCATTGCACCTGCCTCAGAGACCTTTCCCATGGGGAAGAAACTATCTCCAACACCCTATATCCAGGAGAAAGTGACCAACTCCAATTCCAATTCTCTAGTTTCCAACAAAGAGGCCTCCAGGATGGAAGTACAAGCAAGTCCAAAATGGCGCCACATTGGTCAATTCTGAGTGCAGTGGATAGCATGGGCAACTTTCTAGAACTGTTTACCTCTCGGTGTACAAGGGAAGAGGCATGTTAGGAATGATGCATGGCAAACGAGAAGAGGAGTCCCAGACACCTCCTCAGGGATACAGGCTGGGACAAAAATTGCACACCAGAGGCCCAGGCCCCAGGCCTTGGGTTTGCTCCACCCACTGGGCTGAGCTCAGAGAAAGATTCAAGCCCACGTGTGGCTTTTCGTGGAAGCTGTTTTAGAAGAGAATGCAGATGGCTTCCGCCCTTATGAGAAGCACCCGTGACACACCTCCCTGGCAGGGCAGGGCAGGGCAGGGCAAGCAGGTGCAGACTCCAGCGAGGTCTGGTTTTCCTGGAAGGGAGCGCCTTACACAGTCTCAGTTCCAAGCTGTCAGAATTCACATCCAAAGCACTGAGGTGTACTTTCTACTGTTTCCTTTTCAGTCTTCTGAAAGAATCTCTGTATGCTCCTTATCTCTGTCATTGTCACCTGCTTCCAAGAAAAACTGTCTATTTCTCTTCACATTCTCAACAGCCAATGACGGCTTCTTTCACAGTGAACAACAGATGCCTGGCACAGCATTAAACTCTTTTTTATCCTCGATCTCATTTAAATGTCACGCCCTCCCTGCAAGGAGTTTTAGCCCCACGTTATCCGTGGGTAATCAGAAACTTAGAGAAGGAGGGTGAGTAATTTTCCCAAGGTCACAGATGGTCCATGCTAGCACAGATCCTGACACTGGGTCTTTCTGATTTGAGATTGAGTCCTCGGTCCTGTTTCCTTAAAGCAACACCACACACTATTCGTTGTCATTCCCAATTAGCACCAGCCACAGTGTCACAAGAAGTCCAATTGTTTTCACACGATTTCAGACAATTTATTGGAATGAAGAACATAAATCACTCATTCACAGAGATGCCTTCAAAGCCTCCCTGGGTCCATTTTCTCTGGGGAGCCTCATGTCACTAGGAATTAGGCAAGTTGTACAGTCTCTTCTAGCTTTATAGACTAAGAAATTTAGATTCAAAGAGGAAAAGTGACTTACCTAAGGTCACACAGCTAGAAACAGTGCAGTAGAACCAGGACTCCCAAGACTCCAGAGAGACCCAGGAGGCTTTGCCTGTACTATGCTGCCTCTTCAATAAATAACTGAACAAAATAAATAAATAAACCCTCCCCCAAGCCTGCTTCCAGACAGAGTTCAGTTATCAACAGGCACCTATGAGCTTCCCGGCAGAGTGGCAGGGATCTTGGCCAGGTTCCCTGGGCTGGAAGGTCTGTGTTCAGAATGCTAGAGAAAATCAGGGTCAAGGGATGGCTCAGGAGGGCATCACCTCTCCTAACATCCTTGTCTGGGGACTGAAAATTGTCATTTTGAAGACAGATCCCAAATGAACCTTATGGAAGCATGGCCCTCATCTGTGCCCCTGGGTCCCAGTGACCGGTCACTCTTCTGGCATGGTGCCACAGACTCCTGCTACATCTATCAGCCCTTGGTACAAGGAGAAAGCTGGCTCTGGGTGGATGGGTTCTGAAGCCCACTTCCTCCCTGGTCAGAGTCTGGCAGGGTCTGAAGTATCACCTGTAGGCCAGCTTGGCTAACCTCCAGCATGGGACACCCCTAAAAGTTAAGTGCTTATTTCACAGAAGGGGAAATGAAGCCCTCTGAGAAGTAGCTGGCCCACAATCACACAGCTGCACACTGGGAGAGCAGGACGCCAGCCCAGGGTCCTGTCCTCTAGGTCTGTAGCTGGACACTAGTAACTAACACTGATACACGTCCCGGCCCTGTCTCCCCGGTGCCCACCCAAGCTGGTGCCCAAGCCCAGAGGCTGCCTGAAAGGCTGAACTTCAATGGATACAGCTGAAATTCTCTGGTGCTCTCAGCAAGATGGTGGGGGGGGGGCAGAGGTGAACAGAGAGTGGCTTGGCCTCTGCAGATGTCCCAGGGGGTCGTTACTCTACTTGTTGGAAAGAGGGGGATGTCTGCAGATGGACACCAGAAACACACCAAAAGGAACAGGTTCTGAGCCAGAAGCTCTGCCTGGCAAGCTCAGCCCCTTTGTCCCCCTGTGGCTCCATAGTGGAGTGTTGACTGGCTGAATGGCTATCCAGGGCAGATTTAGCTTTAAGGTCATCCAGTGACCAGCATGTGGCCCGAGAGCTGCCAGTGACATTGTCTCCATGTCACCATCCCGGAGCTCAAACTTGGTCTCTGTGTCCTCCTGTCCCGCTAGAAATGACCTTGCGGTGAGGTCCTGAGCGCCACCTTTGCACTCCATCCATCCATCCAGGGACCTGATGCTGAGCTGACTTTGGCCTCACTGACTCCAGAATGCCCTGTGGGCCAGAGTAGACTGTTGAATCCATCACAGTACAAGAAAGGGCCTGAGGAGGGACTGCAGCACAGGCCATAGTCACCCTCTCACTCAGTACACATCCAGTGAGATGGCCTCTTCCTGCCATGACGGGCCCACCTCAGGCTGGCCTCAGTGGCTTGCAGAAAAGCGTGCAGCCAGGCCTTGTGTTTCCCTTATGCCTCCTGGGCCCCTCCTGGTCCAGGCAAGGGAGCGGGCTCAGCTAGCATCCAAGCCACCCTTAGTTTGAGTCACTCCTTCAAGTGTAAGCTGGAGATCAGTGGCAGGGCCACCAGGTCTGAGTCGAAGCTGCTCAGGAGGCCATCCGGGGTTGCCATACAGCCCAGAGGGGCAAGATCATGGGTGAAACTCAAGTCACATATTCTCAGGTCCTCACAGTTGGTCAAGGCCAAGAGTGGCCATTCCTTAGTCAGCTGGTTCCACTGTTCTGTTGGGACCCCTGAAGGAGCCACAGTCATTCCTGGGGAATCCTGTTTCAAATAACCCTTGGCTACAGCTGGTGGAAGCCAACTTGCCTCAGACTCCAGGCATGTCCTGAATTTGGGGCCAAGGCCATCTGCCAAGGGAGTCTCTTCCTCCAGGCAGCCTGCCATGGTTGCAGGCTCTCCTGTGCCTCTGGTCTGTTTCAGGTAGCCCTGAAATGGCACTGTGGCTGAGTCTTCTTCCTCTGGCACCTCAGGCCCCAGGAGACTGATGTGGTCCAAGGTAGAACCAGGCTGTGCATCCCTGGGCTGCCGCTCAGAGTTCTGAGCGAGGCCAATGCCACTGTCATCCTGCCTGTGGCTGGCACTCCCCGCCTGCAGCTTCCAGCTGGGCCTGGGGCCTGGGTGCAGGCGGGGCTCCTGCAGACAGATCCCACTGTCCGTGCTGCCACCACTGCTGTCATTGCATCCGTCCTGCAGCCCTGGGGGCTCCTCCTTACCCAGAATCCCACGGGCCTGTGAATGGGAGCCAGGGAGGAGGAACTGGGGCTCTTCACCCTGCAGGGATGGCTTGGCACTGTCAAAGCCACTGTCTGTGCTACCATGCAGGTCCGAGTTCCTCAACTCTGATGACACCTTCAGGAAGGGCTCCTCATCCAGTGGGTGGATGGTGTCCTGCAACTCAGGACCAGGAAGCTGGCTGACGAGGACAAAGGGGCTGGGCTGCTTGAAGACCTGGGGAGGAGAGGGCAGAGTGAGAGAGGCAGGGTCACCTGCATGAGCCTCCCCAGTGTGATGTGGGGGGAGGGGCCCCGAGTCCAGCAGAGCCTGGGCTGCAGCCCTGGGCTTCTCTGGGTTGCTCTCTCCTGATGAGGCTCTCAGCTTGTTTATTTTTTGGCAGTACCGGGGTTTGAACTCAGGGCCTCATGCTTGCTAGGCAGGTGCCCTACCACTTGAGCCATTCTGCCAGCCTAGATGCTCTCGGCTTGACCCTGGCAGTTACATAAGAAACCAGTGTTCCCGGAGCCAGGTGGGGTGACAAGCAATGCTGGGAGCTCTCAGGTGGTTCTCTCATAGGGTGTTTCAAACTTAAGAGCAGGCTGGATCCTTCTAGAAATGTGTTTCAAACTTTTTAAAAACAATGACTCCAAATACACATAATAATCTGGGTATGTAACTCACTTATAAGTAACTAAAACCAGTTTCATGAAATAATACTGACTACCTGCCTGCCATGATATATTCATTCTAATCCATCTATTCTATCCCATCCTACCCGTTGTGTTTTTTTAAATTTTGGATGTGAGACACCAAGTTAATTTCTCCACTCCCTGCTTTGTGACCAGCACAAAGAGGGTGGCTGCAGTGTGAGGCAGGGGGACGAAGACAGAACTAGTCCCCAAGGACCTGCTCTGTATTAACTGCTCTGGGTTCCAGGGGAGTCACTTAACCCCTCTCCCTTTTACTCCTCCATCCCAGCCATAACGGTCCTGTCCAAAACACACAAATTGCAGTGTTGTCTCAGGGCCTTTGCACGTACAAATTGCAGTGTTGTCTCAGGGCCTTTGCACGTACAAATGCCTCTGCTTGCCATGCTCTTCTCTCCTCACTCTGGAGGGCTGTGTCCCCCTCGTTATTCAGGTCTCCGCTAAGGTTTCGCCTCCTCTTCAGAGAGACCTCCTGCCCACCCTTGCAAAGGGTGCACCAGCTTCTCTCTTCGTGTTAACTTTGTTTGCTTCTTCCTAGTACTTAGTTCCGGGATTTGCTTTGTTTTCTTCCCGCTCCCCACACCTTGCAATACATACACTCATTCCAACTCCACTATCAAAAGAAAGTAAACTCTGGTGGGCAGTAAATGTCTCATCTTGTTCGCCACTCTGTCCCCGAGCATGGTAGGTACTCAGGAGGTTTGTTGACTGATTTACTGAACCACTGTTGCATACCTGCCCTCATTTCTTTGGTACTCCACAACTCACATGCAGCAGTTCTTGGTTGAGTGCTGATTATTTTTCCATGGCTTGGTGATTAAGGGCATATACTCTAGTGCTAGGTTCATGGGTTCAAGTCCAGCTCTGCCTCTTACCAGCTTTGTCACTTAGGTAAAATTACTTATTTTCTGTGTGCTTTAGTTTCCTATCTGTAAACTGGAATTGATGGTGACTCAGGTCTCCTTGTGTCGTGGTTAACATGCAAAGCACTTAGAACCACATGTGGAGCACAAAAGGCACTCAATAAATACATGCAGAGTTGAAACTGAACCCTCCAATAATTCTGTCAGGAAAGTATCGTTACCACTATTTCTTAGAGGAGAAACCTGAAGTGCAGAGAAGTTAAATGACTTGCCCAAAGTCGCACAGCAGCCACAAGCACACCCAGATATTACATCCTCAGCTGTCCTATCAGCTAGTCAATCAAACTAACTTCAGTGGCTGGCTGAAAGATCAGAACCAACCAGCAAATGAGTGAGAACATACAACAGAATGTGAACTCGCTCTGTGCATCCTCAGCTACGCCTAAAGCCAGTGATGACTGTGATCAGTGGATGAAGGGAGTTGGGCTCTAAATTCTCCCAAGGAGAAAACCTCTCAGGGAGCTGTGACCCACAGATTCAGGAGGAGCAAAACTCCAGCAGTTGCTGGGTGCCTCTCTGGGCGTTTTGCATCTGTGTCTACCCACTGCACTGCATTAAAGCCACTGGTTTGCACACTGACTGTAATCAGGGCCCACAAGAGCCAGCTCCACCCTGACACCATTCTGCTCCAGTAAGTCAGTAACTGGCTCAGTGGCCGCTCCACTCATTCACGAGGCCTCTCCTGACCCTGACACCAGGGCCACCCTCCCCCACCCCTGCTTTCTAGCTATTGTGCTTGACCCTCCAAAACACATTTGTCTCTAAGTTACCCTCATCTGGGCTCCAACTCTACATATGGCACAAGTTCAAAGTGCTATGAAAAGGCCAATGGAGAACCCAATCTCCCAAGGGCAAAGAGAAAGAATGATGAACAGACACTTCAGCTAGACACAAGGAGGAATTGTCACACCCCTGGGGGTGGCCTGCCCCATCTCTTCCTCACTCTTGTCTACGCCTGGAGCTGACTGGCAACACAGTTCTTTCATGCCGGGGAGAAGGCTCTCCTTAGGCTAGACTGTCTCATCATCCCCCCCCACCTCCCTAGCACCACCACACACACTTCCTGCAGTTCTTACTCAAAATAATTTCAGAGAGCCTTTGTCTCTCTCCTGTCTTTCCAGGAGACCTGGGAATTCCTCTGGAGGTCTCCTTCCCCTTGTGTGCATTCCTGGGTCCTTGCCTCTCTGGCTGAGCTGAGCTGGGTCCTTCACAACTGAGCCTGTGGTAGTCATACAGCAATGCCAGCTCTGGAGGACATGGCTGGTGACTGGTATGCAGCCTGAATCCAGGCCAGGGATGGGCAGAGACTTGCAAATTGGGCTCTGGAAGCTGGCTTGCCATGTGCGCCTCTTCCTGGAAGGGTAGGAGTCCTGGCCTCCTCCACGAACCCCTCCTGTCCAACACCACCCCTCCTCTCTGTTCCCTCCCTCTTGGACAGCTCCAACCCTTCTTTCTTCTCTTGAGGTGTACTCACCTTCATGACCTCTAAGGCCTCCATTCCTGACTTCCTTACTGTGTGACCAATCGCTCTGTGCCTTAGTTCCTCACTTGTAAAACAAGGTATCGATGCACAGGGGCTGGTCAATGACTAACCATCACTAGGTGACAACATAGCTTGTGGTCTTTGGGGTTTGTGATTACTTAGCTCACGTGTGTTCTATCTTGGCTACTAGGTACAGAGGCAACAATTCTCAGGCTTGGGCTTTGAGCTGGATGAGGGAGTCCTGATAACGTCAGTGCTGGCAATGGAGGTGAACTAAGGGAAAGACTGCCAGGTAGGCAGGAGCTCTGAGGTGCCTGGATAGGATGGGCAGAGACTCACCAGGACAGTAGGCACCTTCCCCCGGCGCCGTACATAGAGCTGGAGGGCCAGGCAGCAGACCAGGGCTCCACAGAGCAGCAGGACGAAGGTGAAGAAGAGGCTCAGGTTGGTCACGGTGAAATCTGTAGGCCCAGAGAGGTGCGTTTGTAGCCTGGCACCATTGGCACACAGAGGGACGTTCTCCAGAGATCCCCTGGCCACTCTTAGGAACCTCTCAGAGTGGCCCTGGACTACTGCCACAGGCAACTTCAAGACCATAGCTTGAAAGGTGTCCTGATTCTTGCCAATCCCTGCCCCCCAGCCCTGCCCTGAAGGGTCCCCTCGTTACACACACGATGCTGCTCCCAGCTCTCTGAGCATGCAGCAAACAAATCACCACAGAGGATGACACAGCAGGCACAAGAGGCTTGAATGCAGCGAGGTGTGGGTTCAATCCCAGGTTTACCACTTATTAGCTGTGGGACTTTAACTTCTCTGAGCCTCAAACTGTTCATCTGTAAAATGGAAAAAGCAGCCAGGTGCTGGTGGTGCACACCAGTAATCCTAGAACAGGAGAGGCTGGGATCCAGAGGATGGCTGTTTAAGGCCAGCCCTGGCAAATAATTTGTGAGACCCCCATCTCAACCAATAATTGGGCATAGTGGTGCATGTCTGTCATTCCAAGCTAGATTGAGAAGATCTAGGTTGTAGGCCAGTCCAGGGGAAATAAAAGAGTTTATGAGACCCCATATCAGCAGATAAAAACTGGGCATGGTGGTATATGCCTATCATCCCAGCTATTGTAGGAAGCATAAAACAGGAGGATCACCATCCAGGCTGGCCTGAGCAAAAAGTGAGACCTTATCTCTGGAATAACCAGAGCAAAAAGGGCTGGAGGTGTGGCTCAAGTGATGGAGTGCCTGCTTCGCATGCACAAAACCTTGAGTTCAAACCCCAGTAAAACCAAAAACAAAAAGCAAAAGAGGCGGGGTGGGTGGGGGGGGAGTGACTGCTTCTACTTTAGAAGACGGAAGTCCGCAGCTCTTAATCATATTCCAAATACTTTGTGCCACATGATCCTGGTGACAGTTTAGGATCTTGAGGTTCAGAGGAGCTAAGTCACTTCCCAAGGTCACACACCTCATCAGTGGTAAAGCTGATATCAGAACTATTTCTTGTATCAATAAGTGAAGGTACAGACCCTCTTAAGGCACCTGACACACACTTACGGAGCCTTCCTCTGCCATGGGACTTATGTGATAAAGAATTCTAAGTGTCTTTCATGCACTGAAATTATTGCAGCTCTGTAAGGAAACACTCGTCCTTGCTGGACCCTCCAACCCTGGGCAGGGCACTCTCAGACCACTCACTGATGTCATGATGTGCGCACTTGACATTGCTGCTTTGGGTTGCTAGTGAGGACACTGGGTGTCCCCAGACTGCAAGACCCATGAGGGTTGCACACTCAATACCCTCTTCCTCCACTGCCTGGTGGGGGTGTGCTGATCTCAGCAGCTCTTCTGAGGAGCTAGCTCAGTTCTGCTTCTTCAGCGGGGAGGGGGAGCAGGAAGAATCCCCCTTTCCCTGGGAGCAGCCAGGACTGGAACAAAGAGGAACTTACACAGCTGACTGAGGGGACCTGGAGAAGTCCCTGTGAAGCCCAGCTGTGCTCAGGTGGAAGGGGCCCCCAGGATCAAGGGACTTGGTTCTGCTGCCACCCTAGGAAATTGCTTACTGAGCCCCATTCCTCATCTCTAAAATGGGTACCCAGTACCTCTGGCATGGGTTGCGTGAGGATGGACAGCTATGTGGCACAGTGCTTGACACTGGCAGTCCTGAGAGATGCTTTCTGGATTGTGCTAGCCCTTCCACCCAGACGGCAGCCCAGGCCCACTCACACTGCTTGGTGAGGACGATGCACTCCTCCTGTGACCAGACCCCTTTGTTAAGTCGGGAGAGGACAGATGGCTTCACCTTGACACAAAACTTTCCCATCTCCCCTGAGGCTGGGAGGCTGAAATTTTCTTGATTTACCTTCTTACTTATGGACTGAAATGAAAACAAAAACAGCAATAAACAATCCTTCTATGCATAGCACACAGAATCTGAGATCTGGAGGGGCCTTTTTGTTTTGGGGGATTTTTTTTGGTGGGCTGGGGATGAACCCAGGGCCTTGTGCATGCTGGGCGAGTGCCCTTTCTACCAAAGTCACATCCCCCAGTCCTGGAGGAGCCTTTAGAGAAAACTGTGGCCAACTCCTTCACTCTTCTTTTCCTAAGATAACAAACCCTGTGGTTATCAATGCAGCCTTAACTGGTTTAGCAGAGAAAAGGGAGTTGTTCTCACAGAAGCTGAAAATCTTTACAGAAAGGGCTGGAACCAACCGAGGGGAAAAGGAGAAGGTAGTTTACAGATTCCAAACTGCAGCAGGGGCTCGAGTGTGAGTCACACAGCCTTATTTATTTCCTCATCTATAATATGAATAAAATCCCCTGATCCTTCAGAGGTGAGAAAGAGTAGCTTTCACATTCTTCGTGTGCTGCCAACACCTGGTAGTCTGTGTCTTCCCCACTGTCTCACAGGGGCACAGGTTTAAGGTTATTTTGGTGCCTTCTTCCACCCCCTGCCCCAGGACCTCTCTCTCTTGTGTGCACAAAGGTGGCTCAGCCCAGGGGACAGGGAGCCCCATACCGTGTAGTTTCCTGGCACCTTGCGGATGGCAATCTCATACTCGCGGTATAATTCAAAGATGCTTTCATACGTGTCACCTGCGGGGGCCATCCGGGGCCGAGGGGGCTGGATTGTCCCGAAGATGAAACCATTGTGTGTCTCCAGCTTCACACTACCAACCGTCAGAGTCACTGAGTGGGGGAGGGGCAAGGCCATGAGGCTGAGGGCTGGGGAGATCATGGGGAGCCCACCCACCATCCAACTCCAGGGTCAAGCTTTTCCTACCTCAAAACCCAGGCCATAGGTTTCTCAACCCCGCCTGACAGTAAAGACTTCTTGGGGAGTGTGTTAAAAGTATAGATGCCCTGGGCCCAGTTAGGACTTGGGGAATTTGAATTTCTCAGGCTGGGCCCTGGGAGTGTATACATAAAACATTCCCTAGAAATGTTTCTATGGCCAGCTGAGTCCTGGCATGTGAGCGAGACCATTGGCTCTAACTCTGAATCAGCAGAGCAAGCTCACCTTGAACACAGCCCACGCTCAGCCCTAATTTGTGGACTGGAAGAATCCTGCTGAGTTGGGGGATGATCCTTTTCTGTTACCTCTCCAGGGGGAGGCCCACCTTTTTGTCAGCAGCACCTGCCCCCTTCAAAGGGATAGCCCTGGTCCAAGTAAGTGCACCCCTGGAGAGGGGAAGGTCCCAAAGTTGGCTTGTAGGCCTGAGTACTTACGGGTTTGCTTCCTCTCCCCAAGTCCTACAAGTTCACAGGCCTGGCAACTCGTGACTCAGCTGCCCTGACCCACCCAGGACCTCTCTTCTGTAGGGCAAACAAGTCCAGTTCCCTTTTAATCTCAGACAACTTTGACTATTTTCATCTAACCTTCTCCAAAATCCTGACCCAGTCCAGTTTGGGCAACATGTTCCTGGTTGCCTGCTGGCTATGAGCTAGGGAACAGAGAGGAAAGCCCTAGGCTAGAGCTTCTGGCTGGAAGGGACTCCAAAAAGCCACGTCCTAGGTCCAGGAGAGGAAATCACCTTCATCCACGGTGAAGCGGGTGTTGCTAATGGTCCAATTGGAGTGCTGGCTGCCATCCACTGCTCGAACTTTGGCCCGGTAACCATTGCTGTGGTACAAGTCCAGGGTGACCATGGTGAGATCACAGGATAGCACCAGGGCACTACAGTTGGGGAGGATGTTCCAGTGCTCGATTCCATACCTGGAAAAGACCAGGGGAGGCACTAGGGGAGGAGCTTGTGTGGGAGGCCGAGGCAGAGAGCTCCCAGTTACTGGGAGAACCTAGAGCACCTCTCAGGGTATCTAATTGTGTGCAAGGGGTCATAATCGGTTCCAGGATCCTATATTTCTCTGTGGGCTGGAAGACTCCTCGATGGGAATTTGAGTAGCTCAAGTACCATACCTCTGGAAAGACCTCTCCTACTGCAGCCTCCTTCCTCCCTTCCCCGAGCTGCCTGTGCAGTCAGGAGGGTTCCCTGTTCTTCCACATATTGTGACTGTTTTTCCAGTAAGATGGAAAAGGGCAAAGGTCCCAGAGCACCAGCACACATGAGACTCAACCAGTACTTGTCAACTGGGTCCCCTCTGGTCTCCCCTCAAGGCAGAGATCTTCTCACAAAAGGAGAGTCCACAGAGATGGGAGTACCCACTCCCTTCCCTCCCTCTCTGGATCCTCCCCTTTCCTTACCTCTGGAGCATCACTTCATAGTAGGTACTTTGGGACTGATTTGGAATGGGTGTCCAGTGGAGGATGTGGTGGAAAAATTGTGCTTCAAACCACACGGAAGGAGGGCTGGGCAGTTCAGCCCCTGGGAAGAAGAGTGTTTATATCAGAACTACTCGTGTCCTCCCCAGAGATGAGCAGGGTGCGAAGGGGGCAAGGGCTATAAATCATTTACTGGGTTCTTCACAATGAACTAAGCACTGTGCCAAGTGCTTTACACACGCTCCATTTAGTGACCACAGCAGCCCTGCACAGTAGGGCATTTATCACCCGGATTTACCCTGACCATACTGAAAAAGAAAAGGAAGCTCAGAGAAATTGTGGTCAAGGACGATGGAGCTGGTAAGGGTCTAGGGATTGGGGACTTGCATCCAGATGTGTCTGATTCCAGAATTAGTGTTGTGTCCTTATATCACTGTCCTTTGCTGTTAGGGACCTGACACAACAGAGGTGGCCAAGAAGAGCAAGTTGCATCCTGAGGAAAAGGAAGGGGCCCAAGGCTAAGGCATGTCCTTGTCCTTGCTCCAACACCATCTCACCCTGACCCACCCCATACTTGGTCCCATCCCAGTCCCAGTCCCAGCCCCAGCTGCAGCCCAAGGCCATCTCTCTTGGGCTCCCCAAACTGAAGGCTTGCCCCAATCTTAGATTTCAGAAAGACTTTCCCTAGAGCCAGAGGCCCACCGGAGGCTGGGTGAGAACAGATAATGATCAGGCTAGCCCTGGTTCTAGATTTCCTGAGGATGTCGCACAAAGAGCCACCACCTGGGCTCTAACAAATGCAAACCATGTCCACCCTCCCATCCCCTCGGCCTGACACATGCCGTTCCGCATGGAAACATCCACTAGCTTGCCAGTGTAGCACTGGGCAGATCATTGAAACTCACAGAACCCATTCCCTCTTCTGTAAGGATGCAATACACTCCTACTTTAAGTGTCCCCACCACCACCACCACCACAGCCCCTACCGGGAATTGAACTCAGGGCCACTTGAGCCACACTCCCAGACCCCCTTCCTCCTTCTTGAAACTTTAAGGTGTCTCCATCTGACAGCAACTCTGATCCCACGTCTTCTGTTCTCTAGCTTCTCATCAACTCTCAAGTCATACTTCTTTTTTTAGTGACTTTGTCAATTTTACTTAGAAAGTACATCTGTCCCTGGCTCTTGACGTCTTTCATATACTGTCTTTGAGCCTCAAGCCTGCCTTTCGATTGCAAAACATTAGATGGAAAGTGAAAAAATGCAGCCAGTCTTTGCGGTGTTTCGGCTGCACATCCCTGTCCCAGCTTTCTGTCACATGAGTGACTGAGAGTTTTGCTTTGTATTTTGACATGACGTAGATTTGGTTTTGGTCCTTGTTCTCCCTGTCTCTCCTCCTGTTCCCCCCCAAACTCTTGGTCCTTTTATTCTAAGGATTCTCAGCTGCTGGGAACTTAAAGCCTGCAAGGGGTAGGGGAAAAAGGAGGAGGGGGCAGGTGGCAATGGGAGTTTGTTGGGGACTATTGACTGAGATGATAAGAAGGGGGTAATTAGAGACCGCGGGGGAAAGGGCAGGGATGGAGGTGAGATGGGAGGGCTAAGGGAGAGAGTAAGAAGGGATCAGAATCAATCCCAGAGGCCCAAGCAGTCCCATTACCGAACCAGAGCGGCAGAAAACGGGACTATTTTTATGGTTTCTCTAGCCACCCCCTCCCTCAATCTCAGCCTGTTCCACTTCCACAACAGGTGCGCCTGAGACGCAATCTTGCCAGCGCGAAGGAGCCCGGGCAGGGGACAAGGGGGGGCCATGGGTACCTCTCTCCTGAGAGAGCCAGCCAAACCGGGCTCTCCGTGGGATGCAGAATGAAGGAGAGGTGCGGCCGCTCGGGTCGGGGTCGGGACTGCCACCCACACAGCCCCGCGGGGCGCCGCGGAGAGAGCAGGGCCGGGTCCCGGAGCCTTACCGTGCGCGCCCAAGCCCAGGCGCAGGCCGAGGAGCGTCGCCAGAAGCACAAGCAGGAGCTGCAGCATCCTGGGCGCCCCGCATGGTCCGGAGCGGAGCCGGCCCGAGCGCCTCCAGCCGCAACTCTGCGGGGCTTGAGACTGACACCTCCAGCCCCGCTGCCAGCTCGTCCCCGCCCCCGGGACTGACGTCGAGGGGCGGAGCCTCCGACGCCCCGCCCCCTGCCTCAGATGCCTGTGCGAGCATCAGCAAGCGCTGCTGAGCTGGAAACCCACGACTGTCACCCGGCGGAAGCGCGGCTGCGGTCAACTCTGCCACTGGTCTCCCCGCTTGGCTTCCAGCGCCATCGGGCCAAAGTGATGTGGACACCCTTGCCTGGTGTGTGTGCGTGTGTGTGTGGCGAGGGACACAGATGGTACGCAGCCAGCAGGCTCGGGAACATAGATATGCGACGACACGTGTGTGAATCCCGGTGTTGCTCAAGGACCTTAAGAGCTGGTGACAGTAATTTCATAATGTACTTCACAGTACATCCTCAGTCACCAACACTTCTGGGTCACTTGGCTTAGCTCAGACTTCCCTCCAGATGCACTAAAGATGCAAACTTTGACCACCTCGCTTTTTACTATTCTTCCTTTTTTGGGAGTGGGGGTGGGGGGCTGTACTGCTGTTTGAACTCAGGGCCTCACGCTTGCTAGGCAGGTGCTCTACCACCTGAACCACTCGGCCAGCTCGACCTCGCTTTTTATTAGAGGGTGACACCTGCTCCTGTGTGAGTGCGTGCGTGGGCACACACAGATGCATACGTGTGCTTGCATTCGCATGTAATTGACAGAGACGAGTCTGGATTTGGGTTCAGTTGTGGTGTTGAGTATGCACCTGTGGGTTTACCTTCTGGGTGTGTATATGCGCTGCAGAGGGCACAGGGACCAAGGAAAGGGGACTGGGTATTTCCAGGCCAGGACTGGGTCACCAGGCTTACCCTGATCCTGGGATGTTTCTTTGCCAGTACCAGTGCCACAATGAAGACCTTATCCCCTGTAGCTTTTAAGAAAGGGATCCTAACTTGGAGATGTGTGACATGCACACTGTGCATGGTGTGGGAGTTAGTGAGGTACCATGTCCACAGCTTGTGGAGATGGGAGCCTTGTTTAAATGCTGTGGAAGTGGGGTAGAAGTCTCTCTGCCCAGAGGCCTGGACTGAGAGTGTGCCAAGTAGTCTGGAAGTAGGATTTAGGTCCCATCGTATGCCTGGGTGTGTGCATTGAGACTAAAAAGACCTCACTTTTGGTGACAGTCAGTGAAGGCCAGGTTGGTCCAACTACATGAATAGTGGAAAGTGGTATCTGCCAGCGACCAGGACACATGATCAGGGCTGTCCCTCAGGGGACAGCCTTGTTACTAAACCCTCCAGTCAGCTGGATTGGAGAGCTCTAGGTTTTTTAAACGTGTGAGGATTTTGTGTGTGTGTGTGTGTGTGTGTGTGTGCTCTCTGTTGCTCAACTGAGACTTAAAGATGGCAAAGAGCTTGGGAGTACCCAGGCATGACGCAAGAGGAGTGGCTGCCTTCCGAGATGACTTCTTAGTTCCTGCTAACCTTTTAAAGAGGAGGACACTGTGATGGTTCTTCCTCATCTGTTTTTACTTTTAGCTTTTTGTTGAGTTATAAGAATTCGAAAGTTTACGCCATCACTGCCTTGAAGGAGGCTCGGGATTGTTCATTCATACCACCAACATTTGCACACTCAGTGGGAGCCAGATCTATTGCTGGAATAAAGTGATGACCTAAGCCAGGTCCCTTCCTCAAGAAGCCATCTAGCTAGAGACAAAGTGAGCAGAGATTGTAATGATCTGTGCTACGTGTTCCAGGAAGGGAAGTACAAGCTGACACGGGGACACAAGGAACAGACACTTTGACTACAAGTGGGCTAGAAGATAGGGAAGGCTTCCTGGAAGAGGTAACATCTGAGCTGAGGCTTGAGGGATGAGCAGGAGGTACACTGAGTGAATTAAGAATAGGAAGGGTGAAATGAGGGAATATAGCATTTTTGGAGAACCCTGTTTTAAAATGAGGAACCCACAATGGCTGACATGGTTTTACGCCTTGCTCAGGGCAGAGGCAGCTCTGACTGTGGACTATTCCAATGTGCCTCTTAGAGAGCTCCCAGAATAGGAGCTGTGTCAGGAACACGATTGCCATACTTTAAAAAATCAAAATCAAAAGAAATTCACTTGTTGGATGTGTTTCGTGTTGTTATAATTCTCTACATTCTGACAAGTCCACCCAAAGTTCTGAGATTTCTGGCATTCACACCAGTGTTGGGACAGACAATAGACAGTAACAATAACAGGTAGCTTTGATTTATTGACTTATTATAGTGTGCTTTATATGTTGCAGTAGAGACTGGGCAACTCTCTTTCCCAGTCTCCCTTGCAGGTCTGTGGAGTACATGACTGAGTTTTAACCAATGTGAAGTTGGAATTGACAGGTGCCACACCCACACCTGTCCTCTAACTCTGTCAGTCACCTGGAGGGTTCCAGTGGAGGACTCCCAGGAAACAGAATGACTTGGGTCCCCAAATTACTTCTTGGAGGAGAGCTGTGAAGAAAGATACCCAATCCTCATCACGCTATTAAATAATGGGGAATTAACCCTTGTTGTATCAAACCACAGAGGTTTGGTGATTTTTCTTATAGCAGCTACTGTTACCTACCCTGACTCATCTGCAAATATGTTCTCATTTAATTCTTACAACCACCCAGTGGTTATCATTGTCAGTGTTTGCAGATGAGGACGTGAGGGGAAAGACCAAGTTTCACTCCAGAGCTCATGCTTCTCCCACCTTGGTAACAGTGCCCTTCCCAACCTTCAAAGGGTTGCAAGAGACTAATGTCAAGAGAATTGAGAGAGAATGAGAGAGAGCATTGGGGTAGGAGGGAAGAAGGACAGCTTTGGGCTAAGAGACTGGTGCAGGGAACCTATGGGCAGAGCTAGGTGGATACCTTGCTCCATGTCACACTGGGAAATTCTTAGGGCAGATTTGAAGCTTGGGATGCCTCTACTGTTTCACTTTCACTTTTCTTCATCTGGGTCTTCACCCAGATGGGCATCTACGAGGGTAGGAAATTGTTCTCCAGTATGTCACAGGCTCAACTTGCAGTTTTCTGTCCCTGGACTAGAGATTAGGGAAGTTCCAGGTCTTGTGATCACTGTGTCACAGCTGCCCATAACAGAGAGGGACCCAGAAGGAACTAAACCCTAGAAGGAGACAGAAAGAAGGAAGCTGCCTGGGGAAACTTGGCAGTCCTCTGGTAAGCAGGATTTCAAGTGCAAGGTGAGGGGCCTGACCAGCCCCAGCCCCAAGAGGAGCCTCCTGTCTGTTGTCTGTAGAACTTAATTCATACCCACTTTGCTATGCCATCTGCCTGACTCACTTCTGGCTCAGTATAAAAGAGCTCAGAAGGAGGGACCCCATTTTAAACTCTCCTCCCTTCTCTGTTTAACAGTGGCTGGGGCTTGAATGAGGTTGCTTACAAGGGTGACAGGCATCCTTGAAAGGGTTTGGGGCAGAAGGACCAGGCAGATTTGCATTTTAGACAGAAGAGGAAACCAAGATCATGGAGGTCAGTAGTCAGGATGACTCACTAAGCGGCAGAATTAAAACCCTGGTCTCCAGATTAAAGCTCAGTTTGGCCTGTGAAGCCACAGCAGCTAAACTTGAAAGAAAGGGAAAGAAATGCTGATCTTCTCAGCTGAGGGCCCTCCCTAGCAAATTCCCTTGAAGCAGCAGGGTGTGGGGGGCGGGGGGGAGCTAAGAGCCTTCTCACACTCCTGTAGTTCACTGCTCTTGGCCAGTGACCAAGGTGGAAGAGCTCATGGACCTTGGAAAGCAGGAAACCTGGTTCTAGCTCCTGCTTGTCCACTACCAGGTTTGTGCTCTCAGACCAGGCCCTTGACCTCTACTAGCCATTGGCAAGATTGGAATCATTGTAACCTTGCTGGGCTGTTGGAAGGCCAGATGCAAAACTGATAAAGTCTCCTCCAATGAGAGGAGGTGTAGTTGGTAGAACTATCTAGCAGGAAGGTCTTGTGCTGACCAGAGAGGGCTGGCTCCCTTCCTCCACTCCTGGATTTGTTTGGCCTCTCTCAGCTATGCCATGTGCTGTGCTCTACCACACCAGCCCGGGATGACAGGGACCTCTGACTGTCCTTGGGACATCTCCCTCCACCAGAGTGATTCTTAAGAAAATCATCTTGGCAGAAAGGGTGTGCACCTAGTCCACTATCATTGCTTCGTGAACTTGAGATTCAAGAGGTTAAGGATGCAACAGACAGAAGTATCGCAGGTCATTTCAACAAACAATTGTGTCTTCCTTCTGTAGCCCAGATGGCCTTGATTGCTCCAGTTTTTAAGGGTGTCATTTCCTCTTCCTTCTAAAATAACAGCAGTCTGAACCCCCATCCTATGAACACAGGAAGCCCATCTGTTCTTGGGTTTCCATTCCCAGAGCTGCCCTGGGAATGAAATGATGAGCAGGCTGCAGCTCATCCCTGGGTGTCTCATGGCAGGCCTCTGGACTGTGGTGACTTGTTTCTAATGTGGACTCATAGCCATCACTTTAAAATGCTGTTGGACATTTGCAAATTAAAAAGTATCCAAGGGACTTGTTTATAACTGCTTCGAGACAGCCTCTTGGAGTGCCTATCTGTTCAACCCATTCTGCAACACCCCTTTCCTGTCCACCCTTGAGTGCCTGGCAGTCTCTATGGTACTGAGGCAGGGTGGATCAGGGAAAGCGAGGCACAGGAATCAGAAGCCATGGACACAGAGACAAGCATGATATTAATGAATAGCGTGATTAAAAGCTCACAGACGCTTCTTGCTTTGCTTTTAGCTTCACACTCACTGAGCTGCTGCATACAACTAGGAAAAATAACAAAACAAAACAAAAGGCAGCTCTCTTCCTCTGACCTTGCTCCCTTGCCCAAGTGATTACTATGCTCCAGGAACAGAGCAAGGATATTTTAAAGAAAGACACTTATTCTGGGAACAAAACATTTGGTAAAACTATTCTTTTGAACCGGGCACTGGTGGCTCACATCTGTAATCCTGGTTACTTAGGAGGCACATATCAGGAGGATCGTGGTTCGAAGTTAGCCTGGGCAAATGGTTCCATAAGATCCTATCTCGAAAAGCACCCCCTTCACAAAAAAAGGCTGGGGGATTGGCTCAA